GTTTGAATTGTTTCATCTTGTCTTTCTGCTTCACTTTGCTACTCTCTGGATGAAAAGATCCTGTCGCAGCATCGCTTCGCAAATTTTGTTGCTTCCTGACGTTCTGCGAACGGTCGTGAAATTTCGTTTTCGGTTCACGACTTTTGAATGATGCCGAGCCGTCTTTTGACTCTGGTTTTCCGTTTTTATGGTTTTGGTTATGATTAGTAGACTTTCTATTCCATTTCTGGCTGTTTGATGCCATTTCGCCCGTCTCCTGTTCCTGTGTGACGTGTTTTTTGTTTTCGGTCCCCTGAGAGAGCTCTCTTTTCTTGGGCGAGCCTTCGTTCTTGACGCTTGGCTTTGCGGCTGTTTTCCATCGAGCAGCTTTCTGTGTCGCTTGTTGGACGTGCGGCTGCTCCGAGACTTCTTTCGCGTTGTCATGATCGGCGGCGGTCAGGGCTTTTTCTTCCTGCTGTGGGGTGGTTTTTCTTACTGCAGTTTCTTGCTGTGGACGTTTGGAAGATCTTAGCGACACCTGTGGAAACCGTACTTCGTGCACGTCCTCTGTTTCTTCCTGGCGGTCGTCGTCACATGCACCTTCGGCAGTCGATGGCAACTGCTGCACGCTGCGACGGTCACGCCTGGCGTCCTTGGATTTAGCAATAACGGTGTCTGCTAGCTTCCTCTTCGATCTGGACTGCAGGGACTGCAACCTGAGCTCTTCCTCGTCGAGAAAATCGTGGTTTTTCGTGTCTGTTTTCGGCACACTGAAGTCTAAGTCACTTTCGCTGCGCTGCTGGCTGTTGGCGACGACCTGCGGCGGAGGGACGGTCGCTGACTCCTCGTCAACCTCTGTATCTTTTTCGTCAGCCGTGCTATGATTTAACACCAGTGTCCACTCTTCATCTCCGTCCTCCGCATCATCCATGGCAGCAGCTTTCACGAACTCATCCGGTTCCTCGAAAACTGCTCCGTTCTTTTCGTCTAAACACAGCATCAGAAAATCTGTCTTATGCGACTGTTTCAAACGTTACCAGTGTGAAACTTTCCCGCTGGTACGCTGCTGAACACGAATACTATTCCGCAGAGAATGCCAGCAAACATGAAAAGACAGATGTACAGCTTTGTTCCATCATTCGTCATTGAGTAATCAACTTTGTTCTGTTTCGCTGTTATTGCTACGGTGAGGCCATTGAGAGTGCCTAAACAAATTCCAGCAGGTCAGGGTACAGTGTTCAGACTTTTGCAATAAAAAGTGTGCACCCAAATTGCTGGCGGATCTGAGACAGAAAAAAATTGATTTAGGCTTTTCGGTCTTAGTAAGCAAAAGTTTCTGTAGGGAGAAACGCACCCCGTATTTTTCACTCAAGACATCCTCGTTCACTGAGACCAAAACAACCTGATTGCATACAGAATTATTTTGATGGAGAACGTTTGCTTGATATCTGCTTCGCGGAATAATTTACGCAATCTGTTTTCGGAAACAATTAATATAGCTGGAGCTGGTTAGAGGATATCGCAACAACCTAGACTTTTTGTCCAGGGGAAGGATCCTGAATGGGCAACGACGATACGTTCTGTTCCTTATGTTCTGTTCCACATGTGCAAGCTGCCACTATGGCAGGATTTCTGAAACTGGGCGAAAATGCAGGAATCGGCTATCGCGCCGTATCGGCGAAAGTAGAAAAGGACCGCCTCCATCGCTTTTGATATACTGTTGTAATTTGAGTGTATTTTTACTGGTGCATTTGAATTTAATTCTGCTCCTACTTTTCCGTTCATTGTTCGAGACACAGAAATAATTTGTTTTTAAGACTGGAATTATTAACCAATTGTGCACCGCATTCAAAAAACCTTTGGCAGCGAGTAATGTTTAATAATAACCTGATAGTTCTCTTTCCGTAGTATATCGCCATATCCGCCATTCTGCGGATCTTCGGGAAACATACGAGCAACATCAGAAAACGACAACTTAACCGGTCATATGGGGAGTCAGCTATTAGGTGAATCAAAGCGAATTGAATTCATGTGAGCCGCCCGCATCATTAAGGAGGGGCGTTACTCCCGTTCTTATGTCGACATGACCACATAAGAACAAAATATTTCTATTATTCAGACGGCCATGACCTGCTATCCTCTTTTCGGTGGGTGATACCGAAGCAACATGAAGTAGGGAGAATTCCTTGTAGCAATGTTAAAACAAGTTTTTTCGCTGTTCGGCACCTTCAGAATTCTAAGAAGATCTCTTGTCACTGTGCGAACAACACTCCTGAGATAAGAAGCGGTTTCACCCCAGAGCGAACTTACAAGGCTGTTTATTACACAACGTGTCTAGAAATACGAGAAGTGACAAAAAATATTCTAACCGGAAGATAAAAGTGGGCTTTATGATACACTCATAAAAGACGCAGTTAAGATGCAGAATGCATCTATTACTTTAACGTGATAATAAAAATTTCAGAATTTGCTTATGCTATTATTAAGATACCCTAACTAAAAAAGAAACTCTATAAGTTTACCCGATACTGGCCAAATTGTTCAGCTACGGTTACGGCAGCGCTGCTTAAGTGAATCAATAAACAATCATGTTAAAGTATTAGGCAAACTTTGAACACGAATGGCCGCTGATGAACGGGAGAAATACATGAAATGGAAAAATTCCTTCCAGATATCAGACTCCATCATGAAGTCATGAATTATATTAAGTGAAATCGATGTTGACACGATATTCTCCTTTGAATATCATCACAGAGATAAAATGAAACAAAAAATATGACGTATCTGGCATGGAGATAAGGTCTAGCTCGATAATGGATGGAAAATATATACCATTTCGATAGACCACGTCATTCCCACAACAAACCGACTTTGTCTTGTGATTTACGAGAATCAACAAATGCAGTCAGTAAAGCTTAACCATGCCACGGCAAAGTTTTGTGATGAACCGACCGAAAACTTGAAAATTAATCTATTTAACTGGCAAACCTTTTACTTCATATAATGGATCTTAAACTGCGATTCTCTCGGTTGTTGCAGTTACCCTTAAAAATCACTGAACGACAGAAGAATTCTCATTTCCACCTGAGTAACGGTGAATCCTTTGCTGTCTGCATTAAAAGACTAACTCTAAACCGTAAAAATTTCTACTCATCTCGTCCATCACCCTGCACAAGAAAAGTTCCATAATGCATAAGATCGGTAGAACCAATTTCCGCCGGTTTATTGATCTCGTAAGTTGAACAACGCCGGAGTCACTTCATTTGGGACATATTCTGATCTTGTAAAACGGTGTTTCTAGATAAGGCAAACTCTTATTAGATAGTGCTGTTAATATGAAAAATTATAGACTTTCCATCTGATATTATTCCTTTGCATCATTTTATACCGTAAATGACCTATATATCTGAAGAAGGAGATTTTGAAAACAAGGTTATAAAATTACTTCGTTGACTTTCTGGCTCTTCCATAAAATTCGCAATATTCGTCTGTAGGAGGTACATTTCTCAACTTTTTGATATATTAAAGCTCAATCATTTCGAGAGTTTAAGGTTGCGATTAGCAACGTCGGGAATATGAGCAGCATCGACTAGGAAAAACTAAATCCAAACAAAAATTTGGCTATTTTCCTAGTCATCGGCTTAGTCAAATTTTGGCCTTGTATTCACGGTTTCTTTGAGAATGGATGAATGCATATCTAAAGTTGCTGACTTGTTTCTCAACCGTACCTAAAGCAGTACAGCAACATCGGTATTGTTATAATTATAGAATATTCGTTGGATTTTTGAATCACAGACGGAGCTAGTTCATCAGCAAAGAATAAAGCGAAATTTTTGTTTGATGTAAGACACTATTTATGGTTTCACGAGTTCTAACATTTTATGCGACAAACATTATCCTTCAGACAAAAGCTTCTGAAATTTTACCGTTCCAAATCCATTTTGTAAATTTTTAAATTGATGAACGAGTCCTTCAGAATCATTACGGCGACTTCCTTCATTTCAAGAAAGTGCGGCCACTAGAAATATGCAATGAAAAACATCGACTGTTAGACGTAGATGAAAATGAGCATTATAGTATTAGCAGTGACGGCGGCAGGAAACGAATACCACTGACTCCATCAGGACTACACACGGTAGAGATAAAAGTTGCAGTTAATAATACGGCATGCCTTCTAGGTGCTGAACAGAGGATATATTTAATCAGATGAGGCTAAATTCACCTGACGCCAGGTAAAACAAGCAGCTCAGAATTTCCTTACCCGTTTTCTCGATGACCTCAGCCTGCATTTCAGAAGATGTAGCTGGATCACGCTTCAGACTGAAACTTGGTCTAATCGGTTCTGTCTTTAACATCCGAAAGACTTTAAGTGCGAAGGTGATCGTTTTGTGAGCAGCATACGAGCCGCTGTGAACCACCGCCTCAATATTTGCAACGGCTAGTATTCACTGCAGCTTTGAGCAATTGCGCGCTGCGTAGAAAACTCGTTTTTGGATGGCATATGCCGGTTTATCCGCCGGCTTGCTCGCCGCTGGATCATCGGACGATTCGAATGCTCACCGTCAGCCACTCACGTTTTGGCGCCTGTGTCAAGTACTAGAGTAACGTCGCCTTCCCCTTCGCTGTGATATGAAAGCGAGGTTTGTTTACTGGTCCAGATGGCATGAGTATGGCAGCATGCAAATGCGCAGAATGCGAAATAAAAAAGAGTTCGAGTGGCGTGCAAAAGCTAAGATTAGTATTATTTGCCACATACCTGAAATACCTTGCGTAGACCGTCTCAAAGTGTTGCATGGTAGTACAATTGTATTCACGTGCTGTCGCTTATGCCATCATCAAAATATCTACCAATCCTGCCTACATTTCAATGGTTTAGTTATCTGGAACAACGTAGCTACCAACGCAGTACTTGACATGCGCCACAAGCAGGAAGAGTCCGGAAGTTAGCCGGCTCTGTGGAAGAGTTGCGAAAAATCTGACTCGGTCGAAACTTGCTAAGGCTCTCAAAAACTTAGAAGCATTTCATGTACAGGATTTCGATACAAAGGTCGATTGACATGAGCTAAAATATCCTTTTTACCAGTGTTAGAGCGTTTGTGCGACAAGGTTGAATCGTCGCAAGTAGACCCTGTCTGTTTAAAATAGGTACTTTCTATCACTCGACAGGACTTCAGAACTTTTATACAATATTAGTTATCCAAGAAACTTGTTCAACCTGATTTTGAACTATCTTTCGCCACAAAATCGTTTCATTCTATCGTGACTTTGTTTACAACTGATTTGAAGTCTGTAGAGTACAAACTTTACAATTTTACAGTAATGACAAGATGCGACGCGCGTCACAAAAGACGACTGCGATTAAATAATTTTGTTTAATTTATTTTTAATTTGTTTTTTTTCTGCTGACATCCACCCGCTGTCAGATAGATCAGAGCGAATTACAGCCCTCTGGAACACGCATAAGGTAATATAGCTGTGCATGTCACATGACCTGATACGGTAATACCGCAACGCCACGCCATCCCTATTGATCGACGCTCAACAACTTAGCAGTCATTTCGCAACTGGTTCTACCGAAGCATACTGCGATGAGTTTCAAAATATGGCCTCTTTAGATTTTGCAAAAGAATTTCGTCCTGTAATTCTTGTCCACTTTGCTTCAACGAATCTCTTCAGCTCATTCTGCCATCCATATGAAAGTCCTTCCACAGGCCATTTGCTGCCACCTGGAACGAAGTCTAATGTCTCTTTGGCTTAACGTTGAAAGGTTCTTCTTGCAGCGTGTCCTACCAATTGCCATTTACGCTACTTTACTGTTCAATTATATCTTAAACTCCATTGCAAAATTTTGCAAACAGCAGGAGAAGCCATTCGGATAATGACCGCCGGAATGTGCATGCGGCAACAAAGCTCCGTGCTAGTCACAACAGAATCGAGTAAGATGTACATCTAAAAAATTCGTGAGTTTCGACAATAACAGGTGTTAGTACTCAAAGAGAATTATTCAGTGACAAATAGCAGGATGAAGCAATGCGAAAAGTGGAATGAGGTCAGCATCATTGAATTATGGATATTAATACTTTTTGAGCAAAAGGAATGTGCCATTCTGACCCTCAAGCATAAGATTAGCTGCGAAATGAGCCTGACGAAAAAACGGTGACATACGAATCTGACGAAAAAACGGTGACAGAGAGTGCAGTGATTTAGTCACTGGAGAAGCTGGTTAAAAATTGCTGCTGAAGCTTGACGGTAGCAGAGGTGATATCTCTAGTGCATTCCAACTACGGATGGTATGCTATGAACTCTGAAAGCCTTAAACGGCCCTAGTCCCAGTTAAGATATCTCATTTCACTCACATGATGTCGTCAAAGCTGCGCCGTTATTCTGGATCATTCGCCTCGCGCAGAGTTTGGTCTCTCTACCTGATAAGTCAGGCACTGATTGAGGTTCACGAATCGGGAACATTCAAGAACAAATGGACATATTTCGATTCGTTTTTATCACTTGTGACTGCCGTTCTGTTGACCAGTTGCAACAATTTCTTCCTTACTTTTGCCGGCATTTTTGGTGATTCCTTTCGCTCGAATGTTATTCATTTATTTAGATTGCGAATGTTTGCCTCTTATTTATACAGGATCCTTTTGTGGCTTTGTTCAAGCAATGAACTTTCAGACCGTACCAAGTGAGGTTCTCGCTGATTGAAGAACAGCTGAATTTGCCCCAACGGAGTTCATTATAAACAGTCACTAATTTATGGAGTCATCCAATAAAATAGCGTACTAACGTTGAGTTAAAGTCATCGTTGGCCTCGTCGCTGAAACTTTTGTCAGACGAAAAACTTGATCGCAAATAAATCGCAGAACTGCAGTGGCATGCGATGTAGTTTGCTTCTTCACCAATGCTTTCAGCTTTCATCACCTTTGCGTCGCCACTGCCATCACTTAGTTCGAAGTCACACTTGTTCGTTGTTAGTAGGCGAAAACAATAAACACGATTTTCGACGAAGAGCAGGTATAAATGAAAACATGACTGCAGTTGCGTTTGCTAAGTGTTCACGAGGTGCGCAGAATCATGCATGGCCTGTCGCTTTGAGATTTCATCGTTACAGTCGACAGCCAAACATTTATGAATTTCATAACCGATAGTGAATGCAGTACCATCTCCTTAATAACTGCAACCATGACCTATTGCTTGCGGAGAAGACATGATCGGGGCATATCATCTTAATCTGTGGCTAAATTTATCCAGCGAAGAGTGCATAATGCAATCCATACGATGCCGGTCTTATGGAAAGAAATGACACCAACTTGAACGACAACTTTCGCGGTCCTGTTCCCTGATCCAAACCACTTCTCCACATTTTGATGTTGCAAGGACAGAGTTCGACCAAGCTGACATTTTAACCAGCGGGAGAATTCTCAAGAATTCAAGCGACCGTAGAAGCTTCGTATGCATTTACGTAGGAAGCTCTATCTCTCTGACTTCTTGTGCGAAACTGTCATTGGTTTCCTTATTGCTTGCTGTGTATGAATTGTCGAAGTTACGCTGGTGATTTCTCTCGGCAGAGATTGCA